AAATGCATTGAAGCAACTGCCATGTGATTGGTTGATTAGATAATTGCATTAATGAGAAATTGAACAGGTGTTCCTAATAATCCTTTAGGTGAGTATATATATATATATATAGTCATGACCTGCTTGTTCGCTCCTCCTGTGTGCCACGCCCACCTCATTACCTCATGTTAATTCCCGATTGTTATCACCTGTTACCCGTTCTTTTCTGCTTGTCTTGTGTATTTAGTCCGCATCTGAGTTAGTTTCCCCAGGTCTGTCATTGACGTCGTCTGCTGTGAGCTCCCCTGTCGGCTTTGTTTCCCTAAATAAATCCCTTTTGACCGTGTTCACGGCTCATTCGCTTGCTTCCCGGATCGCCCGGACTCGCATCGTGACATATATATAATTTAAATTGACATTTAGGAGAGTGTATTCATCCCCAGTCCTTCTGAAATATGTTTGAGTGTCTGTGCGTGTTTAATTTTTGTATAGTGTTAAATAGTACGTATTATTTCAAATTACCTTTTGCACTAACATTTTGACCATAATGTCTATAAAATTTATTCTATTCTATTCCATTTCATAGATATGCATGAATAAGCTAGCTATTTCTAGCAGGTTATTTGTAATACACTATTTATGTTGTGGCTGCATGGTAGCAGAACAACATTCTTGCAACAGGAATGTTCTCTTGTAAAATGATTCCTTTACCTTTGCCACATTACATTTGTATATGAGTGTTGAATATGAAAATGAAAGAACTATAAGAACTCGGTGGCCTGCTGGCTCAGTCAGTAGCACTGCGGCCTCACAGCTCCCGCATTGGGGGCCGGAGTTCTGCCTCTGCTCTGTGTGTGTGTGTGTGTGTGTGTGTGTGTGTGTGTGTGGAGCTGAGGGATGATTGCTATGTGGTCTGTGGGTTTCCTTCTCTGAGTTGTCAGATTCACACATCTCTAATTTGACATCCCAAAATTGTCTGTATTGTATCTGACCTGTGGCATCCTATAGCTAGGATGTCCCCAGCTCTGTGCTTTCAGACACAGGCTCCAGGTTACAGTGTTACCCTACAACAGATAAGCCGTCTGTTGCTGAATAGATGGATATGATTTATAACAAGTTTTACGAATACAGATACTTGCGCTCAAATTATATCCACATTTTAATTCTATATGACTATCTAGCGCCCCCCTGTGTGTACATTTTGTAGTTGCTTATGTACATGAGAAGCCCAAATATTTAATCGAAATACCTAATCGAAAACATTTTATCTAAAAAAAGTAAACACCAATTCCTATCTGCTTATCCAGAATAGGGTTGTAGGGATCTGGATTCAAGCACAGCCGGGAGGCAGGGAATCACAGCAGAAAGCAGTGTGTCATTGGGCACACAAAAGGATTTTGACATTGGTTGGTGGGGGACCTAATCTGCCTCGGCGGTGGCGGGATGGGAGGAGTGCGATGTGTTATTAAGATTTCATCATTTTAAACAAGCCTAACAATTTTTAGGGTGCAATTTCACAAGGAAGAGGAGTGGGCGGTCTGCCAATATTGGGGGGACCGACCCCTCCTCCCCTTTTCTGACGCCGGGGGGGCGCCCTCGTCCCCCCACCCCCATTTCCGACGCCCCTGGAAACATAAACAAGTAAGTCTATAACTATATTTCTTTGGATTGCAGGACGAAACCCGCAGGACACGGGGGCGCATGTTAGCTCCACACCGAGATACAGCAGGGCAGCTGGGAATCGCAACCTCAGCCCTGGACGTGTGAGGCCACTTATTCACCCGTCAAACATATTTTATAAAATTATTTAATTATTATTTTACATCAGCTTTTGACACTGTACCCAACATATTGTCAAATAAAATATTAAATACAAACGTATACAATCGACCCTCCCACAGTGCGGGAGTTTGGGGCGCAGGCCCCCCACGACCTGGAAAAAACGCGTAAAAGTTTTTTGGGGCGGCACGGCGGTGCAGTGGTTAGCCCTGTTACCTCACACCTCCGAGGCAAACCTTCAAGCTTCCGCTCCGGCTATGTGTGAGTGGACTTTGCATGTTCTTCCCATGTCGTCATGGGGTTTCCCCCTCCCCCACTCCCACAGTCCAAAAATATGGTTAGATTAATTAGAGTTATCAAATTGCCCGTAGGTGTGCATGGGTGACTGTGCCCTTTCTGTGGTTGACGTCTAATCTAAGCCGTGGTTAAATTAGTTTTCTATATTCACTGGTTATTGGATACGGCGACTGGAAAAGTCGCTTTGCATGCAGAAGTTCCACGGAGCAGAGATCGGGGGTCAGTTAACTGACATTATTTAAATCTAAATCTGATTTAACATTGTTGGGTGCTGTGTTTTTTTTTTAATAAATAAATAAAATGCCAACTTTGTGTTAAAGTTCCCTGCTGTGAAAAAGAATGAAAATTCTTGTTTGTGTAACGGGACTCAGAGGCGCAGGACAATGTTTTGGCTTAGCCTTTGCTTCCTGTTAATACATTGACAATTGTATTTCCAGGATGTTCGGCTTTGCTCACGTGTGACACACATCCTGTATCACCAACCGACAGCATCCAAACTGCTTTAGAGCCCATGGTGTGAGTGGCAGCGTGGGGAGTTTATGATAACGAGGCACAGCTCTGATAAATGGCAGCGAACTCCTCTGCATATATACTAGTACTTGCATATTATTAGAATGTGTATATTAATAGAATATACCCTTAGACCGCTGAATGATTCTACTCGTTGTTAGGTTTAAGTTCATATAAGAGTTAAGCGATGAGGCCGCTTCCCAGAACTTCCTGACCTGGGGATAGTGTTTTTTTTGTCTCCCCTCATGGAGAGAATTGCATAAGCCACCTCGCTGTTCCATCCAGCAGTACTTCTGCAGTGTGGGATCTCCTCTGACCTGGCATCTTCACTTTCCCAATACTTAAGTCAGCCTGTATCGGAAGGTTCTGGGCTCTGTGTGGGTGTGTCCCGGTACATCATAATTTATATACTGTGCTGCTGACGTATGGAAATTATTCTTGAATGAGCCGCACATTCCTGACATAACACCTCTCGTATATGTCACGAAGTTGAGAGTCTAATCTGGTCCGTTTGGAATGACTTTTTCAGTTCTGAGTGTACTTTCTTAATGTTTGTTCTGATTTAAACGTACGCAATGTGTTGATTTCGTATTTATATAGCTAAGAATAAATTATTTTTATTAATACAACTGAAATACCTTCCCGAGATAGGCCTATATAGTGAAATAAGGGTGACAATGAAAAATGTATATCTATCACAGAATAAAACGAGAAAAAATATCAAGTGTCGATATGGTATCATAATTTTGATAGGAACATATCGCTACTATGATTTGAAATGGTTCAGTTTATTAATTTATGGTCCTTTCTAAATGCCGTGCAGCTCGTCTTCCTCATACTCTCATTCTCTCTGAAGCTCTCCACTTGTAAACACTCCCAAATAAAAGTCGCGTCACTTCCTTGCCCATCCCAAAGGGAAAAAACGAAATATTAAAAAGAACGAAGTACAAAAAGGGCGAGAAAAAAAACAAAAAGTAAGATCAAAAAGGTGAACTTTAGAAAAAAGGCCCGGCGGAAAACCAGAAACAAGCACAACTGAAACAAAGTAAGTTTAGTTTTTCTGCATTTATTTGATGAACTCGATAGCGAGAATTCCTTAGGCAGCTTCGCGGAGGAACGCAGACGTTTTCCTCCTGCACTCATGGGGGAACTTCACGTCCCTTTTAAAATGGGGGGTTTTGAACTGAAACTTGTCTGTATCATTTATTGGAAAGTAAAGTAATTCAGTGTGGAATGGGAGGGGACGCCGAAGAATAGGGCGCACACGTTTTTACTGGAAAAATGACAAGAGTGGGACATATAGTTGTCTAGCGCGAGGGCTTCGCTATCCCCTATAGAAATAATCGCTACTGTGTTTATGTAAAGACAGAGCAGAGTCATTTTATATAGTTGGATACAGATGTTTTATTGTCTTTCATTTTTCGCTCAACTATTCGCCAGAAGTTGGTTTAACATTAACGAACGAAATATAAGAAAACAAAAGTGTTATTTATAGTCTATTTTTACGTTGTTTTACAATCATTGTACTATACAGTAGTGGCAAATTAATTTTGCGTACGTCTGTCTGGCGTTATTTACAGAATAAAAGTCGTTGAGGCCAAAATACCGCTTTTTTACGGCACGTTGAACGATTCCTCTCCTTTCAAATTAATATGAAGTTACATAAATGAACATGCATAAAACTCGTTTAGCTTGTTGTATTAATTGAAATATGTGCGTGGGGTCCATAGTAAGACATTCAGTCTTGTATGCGTGGCCTTCATAATCAATTTAAGGACAATTGTAGCTGTTCACCCACCCCCGAGGGAAAGATTTCAGAAATATGCGCACACATCGACTCAATACGGCTTACTTGCAAGTCCAAGCACGGCTCTGTCACAGCCGGTGCCAAGTGACAAATGTGTTGCTCGCACTTTGGCTTTACCAGGACATTTTATGAAGTGCTAATTTTTTAAAAAACAATTATGTAACAAGTATGGTATTAGTAGTGAAGTGTACGAAACAGTGCCGTCTTTTTCAGTGACTTAATTATTTTGCTGCTGTCTTGAATGTACAGTTTTCCAGTGTGTAGTAACGTGGAATCACCAGCAGCACCGCATGTGTTCACTGACACCCTCAGCTACCTTTCCTGTGTTTATTAGTCCTGCATTGTGTGTGTCCCCCCCAGCTGTCATGCCGCTCCACAAGACATCTCGGGGGCCTCGCCTGGACCCCACGATGATCTCTGCTCCTCTGGGGGACTTCCGCCACACCATGCACATAGGCAGGGGTGGGGATGTGTTTGGGGACACCTCTTTCCTTTCCAGCCATGGTCCCAGCTCACCTAGCACAAAATCAGAGGCGGGCACACTCTCCTGTACCAGCCCAGAGCCACCGACGAACAGCAACGTCTTCAGCGACACCAGCCCACAGCCCTGTGAACTCCATCAGTCAGAATCCTCCGAGATCCTGTCCCTGGATCTCGATTTAGACTTGGGTCCGTCCATCTTGGGAGACGTTCTCGGAGTCATGGATGGACTGATGCTGGACTCGGGTTGGAGCACTGGCCGTATGAAGGAAGAGAGTGGCAGCAGTTTCGGGGCCGAGGAGCTCAGCTGGAGCGAGAAGGAGTCATTAGTGAGCATCAGAAACGACGTAAACGGCAAAGAGGGGAGCTTGCTAGAGAGCAAGGTAGAAGGGCAAATATCTGCAGAAAGCAGCCTTAAAGTGAAGGGGAGTAGCTTCAGACCAAAGGTGAGATTTAGCGATAAAAGGGAGGAAATCATTGATCAAGAGGTCGATGGCGTGGGATTGGATCAGCATAGGAATGAATTAGAGTGCATAAGCCCTTCAGACGGAGAGTATAAAAAAGGGAATTTTATTGGAAGCTACTCTCTCAGAAGGCAGGATAGAGAGGGAGAACCATCCAATCACGTGGCTGACTCGCCACCGAGCCCCGCCTCTTCTCACAGTTCTGAATACGAGGGCGTCACGTCGCTGGACAGGAGGAGAGAGGATAATCACCTTGCTGAAACAGAGTCCGACGAGGAGCTTGTCGGCAGTGAGCAGGGATACACGTTCGAGGATGAGTTTGATGATGAGATTGGCTTATAGAGGCAGGGTCCAGATCACAGTGACCAATCATACAGCAGCAGTGGCTATTGAATTGTCCTCAGTAATCATGTATAGTTTTTTTTTCATTATTTAAAACTGGTCATGTAAAAGGGAACTGGGAAAATGTTAAACTGGGAATATCTGTTATCAAACTGCAACTGGAAGCAGGGGAGCATAGTGGACAAGTGTGACTCCCTTTTCGAGTTTCACTTTCAGTATGCTGGTGTAATGTTTTCCTGTAGATAAAATGAAATCTTCAAACCCGTGTGCTGTTTGGTGAAACAGTTTCATATGCATGTTTAATTGATGTAATTCAAATTGTTTTTCCTAATCAGTACTTTCACAGACCTCCAGCAAGCTTTTACCAATCTCTGAATGACAGAAGCTTGTAGAACATTCCTCCAGGTGGACAGAGGGAGCAGGACAAAGTCTCTATGAGATTTTTGTATCCTCCTTTATTTTAGTCAGACATCTTGAAGTTTAACTATATATAATTGTTGGGAAAGGGACAATGAATGTTTACATATAAGCAATCAGATTTAATCTAATCAAAATTTTAAGTGTTGTTCAGCAGTACTGAACTAAAAGTAGAATATGTAACTGCCAGTGGTTATGTAACAGTCTATCAATCCTTGTCAAGAGTTTCCTTTTATTGAATGTTGTTAGGCGATTAAGTTGAATGTTCTTGGAGTTTTCTGTTCACAGCAACATTGGGCAAATTCCACATCTCTGCATCTCATCACTATAACCCACAGTATTAACCAAATGTTATTTCCTTTATACTAAAATATCTTATTTGATGGATATGGCAATAACGCCTACACACAAATACTTATGCTGGAAGATTTGTTTTATAAAGTAGTTTATTCGTTACTTATTTTTATAAGGAAGTGTGAAAATTCTCCTGTAAAAATCAGTTAGCTAGGGAACTGTCCATTAAAATATGGCATAAACAACCAAATGACTTGGTGATTTTATGTTACACAATCCATGTTTAATTCATTTTTATATAGCATCTTTCACAACAGAGTCGCCCCAAGGTGCTTTACATGGGTGTGTTGTGATACATTACAACATTTGTATAATAAACAGGAGTGTCATGGCCTCTATTTTACTTTAACTTTCTTCAAGTTGAATAAAGTGCTCCATACTTTATGAATAAAGTCACATGTGAAACACCTCACCTCAAGGTTTCAGATTTCAGCATGTTTTCTTAAATCATCTTGCACAAAACGTAAAGGCAAAATGAGGAGATGTCTGAATGTACGGGATTGATCATGAAGCATATATGTAAAAGCTTGTATTTATAAATTGTTCTTGTTTAGTAACTCGTTTTTGTGTGTTAGCATTCCTTATAGTCCTCCATAGTGTTTTAATAGTGGATGTAGAGATCTGCAGGTTAATCAAATAAATATTTTAATTGTATCTCCTTGTGCCCTTTTCCCTTAAAATCCATCAGTGATTTTCCAGGTTCACTTATTGGTTGTTTATATTAGTGTAGTGCACACTGACTAATGGAAAATTTGGGAAAAACAAAATATGGCTGAAAGCCTGACCACCATAGTAAGTTATTACACCCAAGTGGTGTCTGGCTCACTTAGTTACGACTCTATACCTGTGATCAGTAGGTCACAGGTTCAAATCCCAGGGACAGCAGGCTGATACCACCATTAAGCCCACCACAGGGGGCCTACTCTCACCTGTCTGTGTGTCTCATGGAGAGCAAAACTGGAGAAATAAAAAGACAATGGGAAGCAATAAAATATTACTATTCTATTTAGATGCAAAAAGCCATGTGTTGAAAAGTGACAATGACATAAAAAAGAACAGGTACTGAGTGCTGTATTTATTTTATGCACAGATGAATGTCGTGTGTAGAAATTTAAGGCCTGCGGACTGTTCAACAGAGATAGACAGCACATGGTGATCAAAGGCAGAACTGGGGGGGGGGGGCATCAGAGGGCTTAGTGGGGAAGGAAAAGAGTCAGCCCCCGCCCACTAAACAGAGATGGTTCTGAAGACGTTGAAACCCGACAGAGCCGTGGACAGCAGAACGCCAGGGAGCTGCGGGTGCCAGTGGATCTCCTTGACCTCCGTTTGACCTTGGTGCAGAAACAGCAGCTGGGGGGGCAGCCCCGCAATATCCTCTGCACTGGGGCCCCCGCCGCACGCCTCCACGGACAGGTCCCACTGGCTGACCACGTCATCAGCCCCCGCGGCAGCGAAAACACTGGAATCCAGTGGGTTCCACTCCACAGACGTCACAGGGGCACTGTGCTGCTTGAAGTTTGCCACAGGCTGTCCGGACTAAAGGAGGGGGGGGGGGGTGGCAATACATCAGCACAGCAAATCACTGCAAGGTCCTGTAATGTAGTCAGACTTACAGAATAAAAGAATACAAAGAAAACACCAAGTCTAGGCTTTGTCTATACTTACAATTACAGTGACATTCAAGATAATACATGGTCACATTTCAGACTAATAATTTTAAAAAATCAATAAGTAAATTTAATCTCATCTAATCTACTAAAATGCAAGTAAACTCATAGAAATGTGACTTGATAATATATACCTAAATGTCGTTCAGTGTCAGCTATCAAATAATCCTTTAACAAATAATAGTGTCCGACAAGCCCTTACCTTAAACTGCCTTAAATCCCACACTTTAAGAAGTCCGTCGTCTCCCCCAGACAGTAAAAATGGTTCGTTCCGATTCCAGCTGATAACATTGACGTCTGAGGAGTGTGCCTGATCCACTGAGAGCATAGAGTTAGGGGGAGCTCTGATGTCCCAAATACGAATGGACTGATCCACTGAGCAGGAGGCAAAAACCTAAAGAGGATTCAAGAGGTATTTTACTGATCAGGCTTCAGAGATTCAGTTGTCATCCTTGTTTTCTGGGTGACGTTCATTGCTAGTTGCTTACAGTGGCTTCTGTGGGTGACCACTGGAGGTCTTCAACTGATTTGCAGTGGGAGCTAAACGGCCTCTGGTCGATTTGCCATGACGTCCCTCCCTCCCGCGGTTCCCACAAATGAATGTTCTTCTTGCAATCGGCACTAATTAGACGACCTTTTGGAGAGGGATTAGACGAGTCGTTACAATGTACTAACTGTAGCCGACAATGAGAATTTAATACACCGTAGATCATTGAAGGAATAACTCAAACTATTTAACATAAATTAAATGTTAAAGTACAAAAAAATACCATATTAGCACTACAACAAGATGGTAAAATAAGGTAAGATACTTGGGGAAATTTGTTTTGAAAACTGTACATACATATTAACACGTTATTACTATGTATAAATCACAAATTTTTATAAAATTTCTCACCTGATACTTTCGGTGACCAATCAAGAGCAAAACCCTCAGTCATGTGACCTGAAAAGCTGAAGAGAGGCGTGGCCTCTCCCTGCTGGTGCTTTAAGAACGTGGCCATTGCAGCTGCGCTATGAACGGCCTCCAGCTGCTGACTGAGGTCAAATATCTCCACCAGACCCTTGTCTGACCACACCGCTGCCAAGGATCGCTCCGCTTCTTGCATGACCTAATACGAAGAGTTGAGAAAGACAACGAGAAAATTAGAAAGTGTGTAACACGCTTAATATCTGATGGTAATCGGCACGATTCAACATGGATAGTCACCAAAACACTCACTCTCACTCTGTTGATCCCTCCATAGTGTGGCAGCATGGCCAGCTCCAGCTGAGGTTTTCTTTCCTCATCATCCTCTTCATCACTCTCTTCATCACTGCTCTCCTCGTTCTCTTTCTCCGTGCCATAAATATTGTGCATGCGCATCACAAGGAGCCTGTTAACACGAAGCAGAGTGTGATGTATTGGCAATTTATTGTGACTACTCCACACCGGTAGGGGTGGGAAACACTACCCTATGCTGGAATGTGTTGCATTGTTCTTGTGCGAATAAAGTCAGTCACGAAGTACGGGAATAAGCATGATGTGTGGTTTATGTGAGCTAGCGGACTGATGTTCATGCGTACATAACGATACGTTTTATGGTGAATATATAATAAGTTGGCGACGAGGATGGGATCCCACTCTTGCCGTTAGAGGTAGAGCGCGACCATTGTGCCCCCACACAAAGTTTAAAGAGAGGCTACAACTGCAAGAATGGCGGCGCTTCTGGGACATATTGATGCCTTCGATGAATCCACGGAGCAATGGTCGACATACGTCGAAAGGTTTGAACATTTTATTGAGGCAAATGACGTAGTATTTTTGAGTGTCATTGGGGCAATCACATATCGCTTATTGAGAAGTTTGTTAGCTCCAGAGAAACCAGGGACTAAAATGTACCAAGACCTGGTGGATATTCTGAACGCGCACTTCTCTCCAAAGCCCATTATCATTACGGAGAGATTCCGTTTCCATAAACGAAATCAGGAAGAGGGAGAGAGTGTTGTACAGTATGTGGCTGTCCTAAAGAGGTTATCAGAGCACTGTGACTTTGGCACTCATTTGCAAGATGCCATGCGTGATAGATTTGTATGCGGACTCAGAAATGAAAGCATTCAAAGGAAATTGCTGACGGAGGAAGCTCTTACCTTCCAGCGCACGGTCGACATCGCATTATCAATGGAAGCAGTAGCAAGAGAATCAGAGCACTTAAAAAGTTCACTGATGGTACATGCAGTATCGTTTTCGCCGTCGCAAGGGAGCGACAAATGCTTCCGTTGTGGTAGGATAAATCACAATGAACGTGATTGCTACTACAAAGATCAACAATGCCACAACTGCAGGACGAAGGGCCACATTGCTCGGATGTGTAAAAATAAAAGGAGTGATCGGAATTACCTAAAACAAAAGCAGGTAGTAAAATCCAGTAAAAAGAAATTCCAGGATACAACGAAAGGAAATATTCATAAGGTGGAGGCCGATACTTCCGATAGTGAGAAGGAGTTTACGTCAGACTCAGACTCTAAAGTGACGCTGCATATGGTGTCAACAGTAACAAGTGATATTGAGCCGGTGATGACGGTTAATGGGGACAATGCAGCATTGGCTATGATGACTAAGCCCAAGATTGAAGGTCAGAGGATTGAGATGGAGTTAGACACCGGGGCGGCAGTCTCTTTGATGTCACGAGAATTATATGAGGCCAAATCTGCCCACATGCCCTTACGGAAGACCGGTGTCAGAGGGAAGGTTGAAAGTATGGGTGAAAATGAATAAACAGAAGGCCAGATTACCCTTATATGTGTTAAAGGGGAAGTCACCCCCACTGTTTGGCCGTGAATGGCTGAGGAATATCAAGCTTGACTGGCAGGAAATTAAAACGGTGAGAACCATGCACAAGGCCAGTGAGACCCTAGACAATGTTCTAAATCGCCATTTCGAAGTATTCAGCAAGGATTTCGGAACGCTCAAGGGGTTTGAAGCTTCACTGACATTGAAACCCGGTGAGAAGCCAAAGTTCTGTCGAGCTCGCATAGTACCATATGCCTTGAGGCCGATGGTGGAAGCTGAGATTGAGCGCCTTCTCCAGCAGGGAGTGATCACCCCAGTTCAGTTTAGTGAGTGGGCAACCCCCATAGTACCGGTAATTAAGAAAAGTGGTGACGTGAGAATTTGAGGTGACTTTAAGGTAACCGTAAATCAAGATTTGTGTATCGAACATTATCCGATACCTCGCATTGAAGATCTATTTGCTGCATTGTCTGGAGGGCATCGGTTCAGCAAACTGGACCTTTCACAGGCTTACCTCCAGGTACCAGTTAGTGCAGATTCACGGAAATATCTCACAATCACCACACATAAGGGCTTGTTTTGTTACAATCGATTACCTTTTGGAATTACATCCGCACCATCTATTTTTCAGAGGATAATGGATCAAGTGTTACAAGGACTTCCAAATGTCCACTGTTTCCTTGATGACATACTAGTGACTGGCCGGGATGATGCACATCATCTTCGGAATTTGGATGCAGTACTGAGTCGTCTGGAAAAATTTGGACTTCGAGTCCAGAAGCAGAAGTGTGAATTTTTTAGGAGCTCGCTCACATATCTAGGTCATACAATCGATTCAGCAGGACTCCATAAATCGCCGGATAAGATCCGAGCCATTGTGGATGCTCCGGCGCCGACCGACACGAGTCAGTTACGCTCTTTTCTTGGACTCGTTAACTATTATGCGCGGTTCGTTCCGAATCTGTCCACCCTTCTGCACCCGTTGCACGCGTTGTTGCATAGGGATGTGAAGTGGGAGTGGTCCAAGACATGCGAGGAGGCATTCTGTGCGGCGAAAGAGCAGCTAGCAAGCAAGCGTGTACTGGCCCACTATAATCCTAGACTCCCAGTCATACTCGCCTGCGATGCCTCACCCTATGGTGTCGGAGCAGTCCTTTCCCACCGACTGCCTAATGGTGCTGAAAGGCCCATAGCCTTTGCCTCCCGCACATTGAGTAAAGCCGAGCAGAATTATGCTCAGATTGAGCGTGAAGCATTAGGAATCATATATAGAAGTCATCTTGATGGACTCAACTTCATCGGCAAAATCAATTGAAGTCCTCAGGGGATACCCGAGGTCCTTGTTAGTGACAACGGGCCTCAGTTCACGTCTGCGGAGTTTGCCAGCTTTTTAACATCTAATGGCATCAAGCACAAACGCTCAGCTCCTTTTCACCCCGCAACAAACGGCCTAGCAGAGCGCTTTGTGCAGACATTTAAACACTCCCTGAGGTCTTCACGGGGAACAACCTCTGTCTAACAGCGTTTGGACGCCTTCTTATTGCAATACAGGAATACGCCTCATGCCACTACCAAAGAAACGCCTGCCATGCTATTCCTCCATCGCAAGCTTCGCACGCGTCTTGATCTATTGCGACCGTGTGTGGCAGCAGTGGTCGACCAAGCACAACAGACCCAGCGACGCTACAGGGACACACACGCTAGGGTCAGGAGTTTCGGTGTTGGGGATCCGGTTCTAGTCCGCGACTACCGGAAGGGGGAGGAAAAGTGGACGACGAGAACTGTCGCATCGCAAACTGGTCCAGTATCATACCAGGTCGAGGTTGGATCGAAACAACAGTGGAACCGGCATGCTGACCAGATGGTGGCCTGCTATCCCAGCATTGTACAGCCAGCATCTGACACGCAACCAACACCCACCACGGTCAGTGCACCAGTTATGACAGACGCTGGGGAAATGCAAGGGTCTTCCAGTCCTGGCTGCGTAATAAACTCATCACCTCCACATCAGTCTGTCATCACACACACGGACGCTCCAGTAACACCTCCTCTGACACGGAACGGACATCCAAGACGGATCCGTAAAGCACCGGACAGACTGAATCTGTAAACTGTTTTGTGGAACGGTTCAGTTAGTGAGTGCCGTCTCAGGAAATGGCACTATAGTTCTTTGACACACTCAAGGTGATGGGGCAGTCTACCCACAGCCCTTTTTTTTGGATACTGTTCATGGTCATACTAAAATTTAAAAAAAAAATAATGTATATCTATGTACATGTTTAACCTATACTACTTGTTACTGATTGTTGAGTTAGCATACCTGGGATAGGTGTTTTGCAACCTGCAATTTTAAAAGTCTGAGGAATTTTAGGTGTGAATTTAAAGAATGTGTGGAATTTGCACGCTCTGAATACTCCCCCCTGGAACCCTTTAAATGGGTGGAGACCAACCCAACCCCCAAAATGCCCAACCTAGAGTGATGTCACTGCCCTGGACGGCATTTACCTGTTAGCATTAGCTGAATCAGCCTGGGTACCAGCACAGAGTAGCATTGACAGGGGAAATTGTTCCCTGCCATCTCCATCCGCATCTCTCAGCACATCGAAACTAAGACACGGGGCGCCTGGTAAAACAGGGAGGGACGCACTGGGTAAATCAAAGATAACAATAACATAACAGACATAATTCTCTGTCAAAATATTTAACTTGCCTAACGAAGTAGTACGGTGATTGTTTGAGAGTTACTTTTACATAGCTAGACTGCTGGAATCACATCTACATCAGCTGCATTAAAAAGACAGCTAAGATACGTGCAAATAAAAAAAATACGTTTACAATTTCAAAATATCGATCTTGCAGAACCATCGTAATTAATGCGTTGTTACATGTACCAAGCTGTCTAGAATTACGCAGTATATTTTACTGCCTTATGTTATGTAGAATGTAAGGCGTATGACGAACCCGTCTGACATTCGTGATACAGCCGATAAGCCGACCGGTCCATTTCAAGCTGTTCTCCTGGATTTAACACCTCTCTTCCTGGCACGTAAACTTTTTCCTTCCTTTCTCCCCCTTCGTTTTCTTCTTCGTCTTCTTCCATTTCGTCCTCCTCGCTACTACTTTGTTCCATCTCCTCCATCGCATCAGCTGCTGTGGGAAACGTGTCTTTGCCGGGCGCGGACATCTTAGTAAAACGCATTTCCGTCAATATTACAGGGGAAACCTGGGAAACCGAGTTCTGCCGAAATGGCTGCCTGAGGCAGTCGCATGTTATTTTCTGCTTCGTTTAACTTAACATTCGTTCTAGACAATGACATGGAACCGATAAGATAAGAGTGGTACCAGAGGAATTCCAGTTGGTTTTACTTATCGTGGTTAAGCTTTAGACATATCTGCAGAATAAAATTAAATGTACAAGAAGTTTGTTTCACAAACAAGAAGTAATCTGGAAAACGTCTTCATTTTAAAGTAACTGGGCATCCGTGTATTAGATATTATATTTCAGAAAAAATGCTTATAGAAAGCAGAACACAATGTGCTAAATATTTGGTGTTTGGCCTTGTTGCCGTGGTTTTTGTATGAAGTGAAGAGTCACTTGGGTGTGCACTGCATAGTTGTGCAATGCTCTTGTGGTATGTAGCACTTAACCACACATCTGGAACTTTATGACCTTTTGTTTAAAAAAAATATTATCATTGCACAGCACGGAAGTTATCAGCATGACTGCAGAATTAGGACGTGTGTGAAATTTTAAGGGTCCCAGCTTGTCTGAGAAGGACAAGTGATGATGGATGAGTGGGAGAAGAATCCACAAACGGGCTGCTGTCTGAATATTTGCATTCTCAAAGTTTTAAAATACATTTTGCACATAGTATAATGCAGGCACCGTGTCTGGGAATCCTGCTCCTACTGCTTTGCATGTGCAGTTTGCATGTTCTCACTATGTTAAGCAGGACCCCATGTGGATTTGCATGTTCTTCCTATGTTAAGCAGGACCCCATGTGGAGTTTGCGTGTTCTCCCTATGTTATGCAGGAGTGGCCTTTTTGCACACACCATTTTCGTTCCTATATACCATACTGTACAGAAATGTTGGACAGAGAGAAACTCGTCATTTATCTGGGTAGTATGTGTAGGTGAGACATGGGATAATTGTTGATCAGGGTAGAATGGAATTTTATCACACATGCCCGAACTATATGTCCTCCCACTTCTACTTGCTCCTAACAACAACTCTGATGCTTATAAAAACATACTAAATGTATACTAAATGTATAAAGATTACTGAGTAAATAGATAATATATTTGATTTAACAGTTGTCCCTGGTTTCCACATATTGACTCAGAATTTAACATAATAATAAAAGATTAAGAAATAATTCTTCTTTTCTCCAAAAGCTTATTGCTGTCTTGTTGAATTTGTAGAAGAAAATCTCTCCTCATGGGTAACCCAATCATGTATTCATTAAATTTCACCACACACTCCCTTAACTGGTCAAATAAGTTCAGGAACCTAGGAGCTCAGCTATGAAAATATTTGTATATATTTGCAGAAGAAACTGAAACGTTTGTGCAAGCAGTAAAAGTCAGATTTATAAAACCTTGTGTAAACCAAGGTGCATGCCTTACAGATTTATAAATCCCGCGTACTGTAGAAACAGGCATGCACACTTAAGAGACCACCCTAGTACCCTCCAGTAATTACTCAAATTTTGCAATGCAAATTAGCCACATGTATCTATAGACACACACACATCCTGTGTTTGTAATGCCATTTCTGAGACAATAATGCAACCAATAAGAAGGAAGAAAAGAAACTCTTCTGAATGAGAAGTGCAGACTTCAGTGAAATAATACTCAGCACAGGTAGGTGAAACCACCTGCTTGGAATCTCTGCCAGGCGCACCTCCGACAGTGGCCTTCTGCCGGCTGCAGGGTCATCAGCCGGGAGCTGCCCTTCACCGATGTTTTGCTCCTTTAATCCCGGAACTTCTCTTTGTGGTGGAGCAGCGATAGGGACGTCTCCCTACCGCCCCCTGCAGCTGGCCCTAAGATCCCTGTTTCCCCCATTGCTTGTCCTTTCTGTGGAGCCAGAGCCAGAAGCTCCCCTGCTCTGCCTCCTCAGCAATACCTCTGATGGCTCTCTTTAGATTGGTACCTTTGATGCCCAGGGACTTGAAGACATGCTGAGCTGATGTTCCTACATTGCCTCTGTAACCAACCTCCAGTGAGAATGCCCTTCACCCGGCCTGTGAGCATGCAGCTGCCAGCTCTGCATACTTGTTCTTCTTCCTCTCAAAGGCAGCCTCCATTCCTTCCTCCCACGGAATGGTCAGCTTGACCATGATGACAGCCTTGGTGATGGAGGACCAGAGCACTATATCAGATCGCATAGAGGTTGGGGTGATCTCCTGAGGGAACCTGAGCAGCTGGTTAAGGTCAGCTGCTAAGTTCCACTCAGCTCCAGGTGTCAAGAGAGACCATGCCCTATGAGTGTAGGACAGGTCCTGGTCTCCTTGTCTTACAAAGTGAATCAATTTCTGAGATGGCACTGGACTGGTCCTGTTCGCTTCAAGTCTACGTGCCTCCAGAATTTCAGCCAGCCCTGTGTTAATGCTGCCTTATAACCAGAGAGGATGTGTTGCAGGCATGGGTTCTGCGAGCAGTAGAGTTGGTAACTCTCCTCTGTGCCATACCAGATGTTAATGTTCTGGGGGCTTGGAAGGATATCATATGTTGCCATGATCAAAAGGCTGAGTCTGGCTTGAGGTATCCTCCACATGTCAGTCCAGGTAATTGTCCTGTTTACCACTGCCTCCCAGGTTGTCCACCTCCCTTGGCAGTACTGGCCAACTGCTTTGATCCTCTCCTTCGCATTAGCCTTAGACTACATCCTGCGTGTTTGTCCCCAGCCGATACCGATCCTCCCTTGTTGTGACACCTGCAAAGCTTCTTGGTGCTTCAGGCGACGTCCTGTTCGGACCTGGGTTTTAGTGTTTCGGACAATCGGATCTGGTGAGTCTCTCAGTTGGAACACAAGTCTCACCTTCTCTTGTTTATAGCCCAGGCTAATGGATTTCAGTGGTAGCGTGAGTGTGTTTCTGCCAAACAGTGCCACGTTGGAAAGGCACCGAGGGAGGCCAAGCCATTTGCGGATGAAGTTGTTGGCTTTTGCGTCCATCCGCAGTGCTGTGGAAGCTGTGATGTAACTCAGCTTTAATGGCCACATCACCCGTTGGTAGAGGGTGTGCTGATAATACCAGACCTTGAACTTCCCTGGTAGGTAGCTCTAGTCAATCTTGTTCAGGCCATCCATGAGCTGCTTATCAGATAGATCACCTGTATAGAGCGTTCCAAGACTTCTGACAGGATGTTCTGCCAGGAGTGGGATCTTCTCACCATCAACCAGAAAAGTAATGTTGTCATTCCTAACCCCCTTGCAAATAGAGAGACTGCAGGACTTTGCTGGTTTACAGAAGGCTGTGGGCATATTTGAAAGGGTCCTTGAGAAAGCTTGCCTTGGCCGTCTCTTTCCGGCCCCTGCGCTTACGAATTCTTTCAGCTCATCTGAGGTGAGCGAGTCTTGACTTGATCTGCTCCCATAGGCTCTTCAGTCCCTCCTTCTCCTGCCCCTTCTGCAGGAGGCATTGCTCTTTAACCAACTGGGCTATTTCCCGCTCCCGTCTCCCGCTCTGTTTTGGGCTGGTCCTTCTCTTGGGCTTTGTTCCAAACCTCAGGGTTACTTCCTTGTAGACAATGCTGCCCATTAGAGAGCTCCGCAGGATAGTGAGAAGGCTTACCTCATAACTCCTCCATGTTTCCTTGTCATTGGGTCTGGGCTTGCACTGGCTTTACGGACTGGTTTCTCTGGTGCCTCGCTTGTGGGTACGCTTGAGGTTGTTTCGCTGGAATGTTGCTGAGGGTGGTGCAGATCATGTTGCATGTCTTGCTGTAAAGGCTGCTCCGTTCCCTTGCCAGATGCAATGGTGGAATCATTAACACTGTGGTGCTCAACCTGGATGAGATTCCTCCTTGTCTGACCTGCTTTTGCAGTGCAAGATTGCATCTGGTTGTTTCCTCCACATTTGGCTTTACCCTGGTGGATGCGCAGGCCACTGTGAGTTGTCACCCACAGCCACATTCTCTGGGGATCTGTTGGTCCTTTGTCGTTGCTGTGTTAGTCATTACCATAAGTTCTGTCCTGATTGGTCCATCTTTCATCCCGCCTCTCGGTGGACCATCGGGCTGTTTTTTTCCTTAATCTGCTTGTAGTTTTGTAGGGTGGCCAAGTAACAATGTTACACAGCTATGTGGAGTGGGTAACTAACCCTTCCACCACTGGTGCAGTCTTCCCTGCCGCCAGCTAGTCTTTCCTGGCTGCCCTCCAATCTTTCCTGGATGTCAACTGCTCTATTCTCAGTTGTCATTGGCAAGCCAGATTTGCAATATTCAGCACAGGTAGGTAAAACCACCTGCTTGGCATCTCTGCCTGGTGCACCTCTGACAGTGCCCTTCTGCCGGCTGCAGGGTCATCAACCGAGAGCCACCCTTCACCGATGTTTTGCCCCTATAATAACGGAACATCTCTGGGTGGTGAAGCAGTGATAGGGATGTCTCCCTACCGCCCCCTGCAGCTGGCCCTAAGATCCCTGCTTCCCCAAACCAAGAAAGCCAACCATCTGCTTGTGTGACAAACAAAAAAAAAATGTCAAATGGCAGCATCTGACTGCTGCTGGGGGGTTCTTGACAGGGACTCTCATTTAGACAACCAATTGTAAAGTTGTCCCTTCTGGGAATTATCCCCCACAGATATATGAATGCAGTATGGAACATAGGCACAGTGGGGTCAGGTAAATCCCCCAGAGAGATATGAATGGAAAAGGTTTCTATTTTAAATGTCCTTTTATATGCAGTGACCGAGATGTGGAAGGGTGGCACCAGACCAAGCAAGCTAGCATCCACCCCATCTGCTCTGGTTGGGTGAGTTAGCTCCACCACATGTGGGTGTACCCTCACAAATGCCAGCACACACCTACACAGGCAGACGGTAGGAAACATGAGGACCCTGAATGAAGAACTGAAGGGAATCGAAGTACTTTTAGGAAAAATTTGCACTGCATTAAAAGAATTAATGAAAACGTGTACACGTTTGTTATACATCCTTTGGCATACCGTCTCCCTCAGTCTGACAGAGGAGGAAGGTTCTCAGCAACAATATCATCTGCTTCGCTATCTGCCGGTTTGGGGTTAGGCAGGCTGTGTCGTTGGTATATGTTGTGCAGGACACAGCAAGCTGATATACTATTATGCATCAGAACACTGCCTGACCCATCCAAACACAGCCACGTGTTTTTCACACACCCTATGGCGCACTCTGTCACTAAGTGCTCCACTCCTCATATCACATTGAACCGGCATTCCCCTTTGCTGTGTGGTTAGTAAAATGGGGTCAATAGCTAGCATTTAAGTGGGTAACTTAAGTGAGTGGTACACGCACATGAGTCAAAGGAAAATATACAGCTGTGGAAATAAATTAAGAGACCATAGCACAATTTTTTTGTTTCAGTCATTTCTCAATTTATCCCACATGGAAATAACCTATATAAACATATATGTTTTAATATAGGTTTTGATATAGGTTTTTAATATATGTGACATATATAAAATTGGCCGTTTTCCTATATTATATGTACATATATGCACATATATGTTTACCTATATGTTCACCTATTATTAAATTATTATTAAATTATTATTACTAAAA